GACAATGGTCGTCCCTTCATCTGTTTGTACAGCTCCGGATAGCTGATGACTAGCCGGGGCGGCACATCTCTGTCTAGTACCAGGCTAAACACGGCAAACATGGTATAGTTAGTGGCGTAGCCAATGTACAGGAATGACGCATATAACGGTATGGAGACCACGTTGAATACGGCCGAAAATATTGCCTGACACACCGTTATTATAATACCCCTGTATATAATAAACTGACCCAAAGTGGCCGACCGCTGGTAACTATAGCGACCGTGCATTAGTATCAAGCGGTAAATATGGCTGAACTGGGTGATTGAAAAATCGGCCGCCAAACTAGCTTGCTGGCCCTCCTTGCCCACAATTCCCACGCCCACGTCGGCGGTCTGTATCATCGACACGTCGTTACCCCCGTCGCCCACAGCGCACGTGCGCGCGCCGGTGCGCTCCTGTATGAGGCGCACCACTTCGGCCTTTTGGGTGGGAGAGCACCGGCAACAGACCACTGCCGGACACTGGGCGGCCAACTCGAAGAACTCGGTCGAATAGTATTTCATGAGTAGCTCTAGGTCTTCGCCCCGGATGACCAAGGGCAAATCGCTCACACGGGCGAAATTGTTGAGCTCCTTTTGCGCGTCCTGGCGCTCGGTTACCGCCGGGAAAATGTGAAATTCCTGCATTTTGGACACCAATTGCGATGACTTGGCTATACTGATGGCGGTCTCCAGTTTGTCGCCCGTCAACATCCATACCTTTATGCCGCCGTCCATCAGTCCCTTCAGTGTCTGCGCCACTCCCTCCTGCAGCCGGTCCTCAACACCTGTGGATTAGTAAATGTGTGGTTTGTTAATAAATAAATGCGTTATTTTATTTATTAAATAGTTTAATTTATTTTGTTAAAGTTAGATTATTAATTTAACTATTCTACATTATATAAGAAAAACTAAATAAAAACTGTATGTTAAATTGTATGATTTATTTATACATTACGATTATGTGAGTTAGCATGTTTAATGGTTTAACGAAGTCTGGGACTTTTATGCAAACCATTCTATATATTTTTTTGTAATTAATAGTAATATAAATATAATCTGTGATTAAATTATAATACAATAAACAGTGTATGGTAAACTAAAAATTTTTGATAAGTTTAACGCATTACTAAAAAGTCTAAAAAAGTCTAAAAAGTTTAAGTCAGTAGTTATAACTACAGCAATATAATTTATAATTAGAATAAATACTTTACTGATTTAAATTGTTTAATAAAATATTATAGTTGTTCAATTCTCTCCCATTATATATTTTCACTTACATAACAATTAAGTTAAAATTTTACATTAACATTAAGTGACAGCTTTTATTTAATAATTTTATTATGACGTATCGACCAAAAATTATTGGCAAAATCTTGTTTGTAAAAATTAATTAATTGAATAAGATTAACTATTTGCAAATCTCAAATGACTTGATTGAATTATTACCATAATACCAATCACTTATATAACATACATGTAATAAAACTCTAATCGTATAAGTATATAAATATATATTTTAACTTTCATGTTTTCTATAATCACACAATTAATAATATAGTCACTTATTTCGGTTTATTTGAATTATATTAAAACAAATGATAATATAAATAATGATTAATTAATAAGTTAATAAATATAATCAAGGTTTTTATACCTGTTAGGCACAGTAACTCCATATCGCGCTCTAGTGTTGCCAAAACTGTGCTGATCTTTTCGGCCCTGTCCTGCATCGCGCACTTGGCCTGATTATAGCGGCCATCAAACTCCCTGTACTGGTCGGCAGTTAACTGTTTCTTGGCCACCACTAGTGTC